GTTCACAGCAAACCGAAGTGTAAATCTACCCCACACTAGCCCACTGCACACTAACTGTCTGGGTGGACACTGTTAATGTGTACTAACAGTTCCTTAGTGCACTTTGTCTTCGTGCACCTTGGGCCCCGAATACTGTGGCCCTGCTGCAATTTTTAGGCACCAGCTCGATCAGAGCTAGCACCTGTATGCCCGGGTCTACATTTAACATTTACGGCAACCTAGCTACATTGCCCAGGGCTTTAAGCCACAGTGTAGTTAAGCCAACCTAACTGCTGGTGTAGTTGAGGCTAGGTTGATGGAGGAATGGATGGTGCATTATCTACAGCGAGTAGAGCCTGTAGTGTAGACAAGCCCTGTTTCTACTCAAATTGGGAGTCACACTGTGACGGGTTCGGTCACAGAGATCCCCTTGGGACTGTCACCTGATGTGCTGAAATTACCTCTGAGCCCTTTTCCTCTGCCACCTTGGGACTCCAGAACCCTGCCTTGTTGAGCCAGACACGCTAGCCTGCTGCAACACAGACCCAGGGTCTGGTCCTCAGCCCCAAAGCTGCAGGCTTTAACCAAAAGCTGCTCAACAGGTCACCTATCTGCAGCACCCAGACACTCAATTCCCAAAGGGATCCAAGCCCCAAATAAATCTGTTTTTCTCAGTATAATGCTTATACAGGGTAAATAAATAAATTGTCCACCTTCTATAATACTGATAGAGAGATATGCACAGCTGTTCGCTCCCCCAGGTATTAATCCCTTACTCTTGGTTTATTAATAAACAAAAGTGATTTTATTAAGTATAAAAGTAGCATTTAAGTGGTTTCAAGTAATAACAGACAGAACAAAGCAAAATAAAGCAAAAACATGTGAGTCTAAGCCTAATACATTAAGAAACTGATTACAGGTAGTCACTCTCAGAGATGGTCAAATAAGCTTCTTTCACAGACTAGACTCCCTCCTAGTATGGGCCCAATCCTTTCCCCTGATACAGTCCTTGTTAGTTCCAGCAGACATCTTAGGGGGTAAGCAGGGGTTTTCTCATGACTGGCCACCACTTTGTCCTGCTCCACCCCCTTTTATAGCTTTGGCACAAGGCTGGAATCATTTGTCTCTCTAGGTCCCCATCCATCCTTCTAAATGGAAAAGTAACTGATTTATGATGGATTCCAGCATCATGTGACATGGTCACATGTCAGTGTAAAACCCCTAGTCTCCATTTTTCTTGGGTTTGCCCACAGGTACACAGGAAAGTTTGTAGGTAAATAAACCATTTACAACCAATTGTCCTAGTCAATTGGAGCCATCAAGATTCTAAATCACCACTAATGGCCCACACTTTGTACAATTACAATAGGACCTCAGAGTTATACTTCATATTTCTAGCTTCAGATACAAGAATGATACATGCATACAAATAGGAGGAATATATTCAGTAGGTTATAACCTTTGTTATGATATCTTAGAAGAGACCTTTTGCATGAAGAACATATTCCAGTTACATCATATTCACACTCATAAGCATATTTCCATAAAACACATGGAGTGCAATGTCACACATGCCTCCCAGCGGCTGTCTAGACATACCCCTGGGGCAGAAACTCTCTCTTACTCTGTGTTTGTACTGTGCCTCAGTCGCGGTTGGGATTTAGAGATGCTGCTGTAAAGCAAATAATAAATTATAAACCGTGGTAACAAGTTTGGTATAAAACCTCCTTGGGGATGTGGGAATCGCAATCAGTGGGGTTTTAAATACTGACTGAATTAATCACATCGACCTTTTTGCTATTCACAGCTACTCCCTGATCACGCCCAATGTCCTGCGGGTGGAGAGTGAAGAGAAGGTCGTGGTGGAAGCCCATGGCCTCAATGCCCCAATCACGGTTACAGTCACTGTGCACGACTTCCCGCATAAGAAATACATCTTATACCAGGTCCGAACCAACCTCAACCCTGTGAATGGGATGATGGGCACAGCCATAATAAAGGTGGGTAAAACCCCAGGCTCAGGTCACCCAGTGAAACAAAGGGTATAATTTTCAACAGTGTCCCACTCATTTTAGGAGCCTCCAGTATTTTGGTTCCCCAACTCTGCAATACCGAGACGTTCAGACCCCGTCCAGGTTGGATGTTGTTCCAGAAGAGACACTCTAGCCCAGCACGAAGTTATGAGTTTGAAATGCTGGGTCAAAGTCTATGGCCTGTGTTATACATAGGGCCCTATCAAATTCACAGCTGTGAAAAACGCATCATAGACCATGAAATCAGACCTCCTCTGTGAAATCTAGCTATTGGAGGGGAGGAGAAGGGGCAGGGCTGGGGGTGTCCCAGCTGGGGGCTCCTACCATGCCCCTGGCTCCAGCTGTTAGTCCCATCAGGGCTGGGGAGGGACATGACTTACTGTTAGCCCAGGAGGTTGCACAGGGTGGAGTTGGGTCCGTCTCCCCGTGCTGCTGGCCAGCAGGGGAGAACAGACCCAGGTGGGTCTGATCTCCCTTGGGGGAGGGGGAAAAGGAAGTCCTGTCCCTCCCAGCCCGGCTGGGACTAGCAGCTAGGAGCCCCTGGCTGGGGCGCTCCCAGAAGCACGGGGGAGATCAGACCCACCTCCACCTCTGGGAACCTCCTGCGGCTGCAGGAAGCTGAGGGCAGTGCAGAAGTGAGGGTGGCAAACCTATGACCCCCCTACAACAGGTTTGTGACCCCCCTCCCCCCCATGAATCCCTTTTGGGTCAGGATCCTCCCAGTTACAACACCCTGAAATTTCAGATGTAAACATCCCAGAACATGAAATTGACTAATTTTCAAATCCTAGGTCCATGAAATTGACCAGAATGGGCTATGAATTTGGTTGGGCCCTAGTTATACAGGAGGTCAGACTAGCTAATCATGTTGGTCCCTTCTGGCCGTAACATCTACGAATCTATTAGTAATGGGGGACCTATAGCTAACTAGTCAGATAAGCACTGTGGGGGTCTCTTGTTGGGGACCTAAAAACTGAGGTGCCCCAAATTAGGAGGTAGAAGAAAAAGTTGAGAGGAAGGATGGTGGGGTTCCCTGGTGGAGCATGATTCTCATTTTGAGTTGATCCAAAGTCCTGGCCAGGAATGAAGAGTTGGGGGACAGAGGGAAGGTCTCCAAGATGTTACAGTTTTAGCAGAGCACAGTAGGAATAGTCGGGAGCACATCAGTGCAGTAGAACTGACTTCAGCAGGGCACCCATGGGATGCCCTTTGGTTCACAGATATTCCATATAAGAGGAGGTGACCAGACAATGGGTACAGGGCTGTCCAAATGGTCTGGCCTGACTCACTGGTGGTGACCTAAGCTGACTGTGCCATCCTGGGAAGCCCCCTCCACCTGGGGTATTTTATGGCAGCTGTGTAAGCTGCTGGAGGAACTGCATGTAGAGTGGATTAGTAAAAGGCCATGGTTTCTTTTGGATTCTTTCCATGTATAATGGCATAACGAGTGCCGTCCCGCAGGGATCGGTTCTGGGTCCGGTTCTGTTCAATATCTTTGTTAGGGTTCCCTCCCTACTCTGAACTTTGGGGTACAGATGTGGGGACCTGCATGAAAGACCCCCCCAATGCTTATTTTTACCAGCTTAGGTTAAAAACTTCCCCAAGGCAAAAATTCCCTTCCTTGTCCTTGGACGGTGTTGCTGCCACCACCAAGTGATTACACAAAAATTCAGGAAAGGGTCACTTGGAGTCCCTATTCCCCCAAAATATCCTCCCAAGCCCCTTCACCCCCTTTCCTGGGGAGGCTTGAGAATAATATACCAACCAATAGGTTAACAAAGTGAGCACAGACCAAACCCTTTGGTTCTTAGGACACTAAAAATCAATCAGATTTTTAAAAGAAGAAATTTATTATAAAGAAAAAAGTAAAAGAATTACACCTGAAAAATCAGGATGGAAGGTAACTTTACAGGGTAATAAAAAGATTTAAAACACAGAGGACTTCCCTCAGTACTCAGCTTCACAGTTACAAAACAGGAATAAAACTCCCTCTTAGCACAGGGAAAATTCACAAGCTAAAACAAAAGATAATCTAATGCATTTCCTTGCCTTACTTACAATTAGATGGATCATTTTATGTATGTTTTCAGGAGATGTTTTACCTGCCTGGTCTCTCTCTAAATCTGGAGAGGGAACAACAAAGAGAGCACAAAGAAAACCTCCCCATCCCCCATATTTGAAAGTTTCTTCTTTCCTCATTGGCCCTTCTGGTCAGGTACCAACTAGATTATATGAGCTTCTTAACCCCTTACAGGTAAAGTGATTTAGAACAGCTTCCCAGGAGGAATTTTATGTTACCCTTATTTGTATGTTTATGACACGTCCCCCAAATCACAGACGGTGCTGGACAGCCTGTTTCGCACTGGCTGTGATTTTTTTCCTGGAGCTTTAGGAGAAAACAGAGTTAATAAGACACATGCACCTTTAGACATACTACTGATTATATAAAAACTAACAATATTTTCCACATTTTAAGGACTATTTTAACCAGTTGATTTTGGGAAACTTTTATTGGAGAGGGCATTGGCCATGTTGTTAGAAGCCCCTGAAATGTGTTGTATTTCAAAATCAAAATTTTCGAGAGCTAAACTTCACCAAAGAAGTTTTTTGTTATTTTTCTTGATGGTATGAAGCCACTTTAGCGCAGCATGGTCGGTGTGCAGGTGGAAACGCTGTCCTCAAACGTATGGGCGTAGCTTCTCCAGAGCATACACAATGGCGTAACATTCCTTTTCTGTAATTGACCAGTGGCTTTTCCTCTCAGACAGTTTTTTGCTGAGAAACACAACAGGATGGAATTTTCAGTTCGGTTCTTCCTGCATTAAAACTGCTTCCACACCACGCTCGGACGCATCTGTGGTTACTAGGAAAGGTTTGTCAAAGTTTGGGGCCCTTAGTACAGTGTCAGACATGAGTGTTTTTAAGCTGGTTAAAGGCCTTTTGTCACTCTTCAGTCCACTGAGCTGAATTTGGCTGGGGTTTTTTTGGTCAGGTCTGTCAGTGGGGCGGCGATTTGGCTGTAATGTGGTACAAATCACCTGTAATATCCGACCAAGCCTAAGAAGGATGGGACCTCTTTTTTTGACAGGCCACTTTTGGATAGCATTTAGAATCATAGAATATCAGGGTTGGAAGGGACCTCAGGAGGTCATCTAGTCCAACCCCCTGCTCAAAGCAGGACCAATCCCCAGTTTTTGCCCCAGATCCCTAAATGGCCCCCTCAAGGATTGAACTCACAACTTTGGATTTAGCAAGCCAATGCTCAAACCACTGAGCTATCCCTCCCCCACTTTGGCCTGTAGGGGATTGATAATTTTTTGACCCACCTAGTGTCCAAGGTACGTTACTTTGTTTAGGCCTATTTGACACTTTTTAGCCTTAACAGTTAGTTCTGCCTCCCTTATGCGCTCAAAGACTTTTTGCAGATGCTTTAGGTGTTTTGCCCATGAATCTGAAAATATGGCCACATCATTAAGGTAGGTGACTGCAGATTCTCCCAATTCTGCTAGGAAACTATTTACAAGTTTTTGGAAGAAGGTGGGTGCATTTCGCAGCCCCAAAAGGGAGCACATTAAATTCATACAGCCCCTTATGGGTGGTGAAGGCTGACCTTTCCTTGGCGGATTCATCCAGCGGTACCTGCCAGTACCCCTTGATTAAGTCTAAGGTAGAGATGAACTGGACATCCCAGTTTTTTCAATAGCTCATCTGTGCGTGGCATTGGATAGTTGTCTGGGTGAGTTACAGCATTTAGCTTAAGGTAGTCCATGTAAAAGGGTATCTCCCCATCTGGTTTGGGAACTAGAACCACTGGAGATGCCCATGCACTTTTAGAGGGGCGGATTACACCCATTTGTAGCATGTCCTGGATTTTCCGTTTTATAGCAGTTTTGGCTTGAGGAGCCACCTGGTAAGGTTGGGCTCTAATTGGGCAAGCATTACCTGTGTCAATGGAGTGGTATGCCCGTTCGGTCCGTCCTGCGGTGGCTGGGAACATCGGCATGAAGCTAGTGCACAGCTCCTTGATTTACTGTCGCTGCATACGTCCGAGAGTCATGGAGAGGTTCACCTTTTCCACGCCACCATCACTTTTTCTTTATAGTAGACACTTTTAGGCCACTCAGCGTCATCTCCTCCCTGGGCAGTAAACGTACACTTTAGGCTTTAGGTTTGAGGTGGTGGATGCTATGAGATAGTTAACAGCTCCCAGGTGCTCTTGGACAGTAAATGGCCCTTTTCACGATGCTTCCATCTTATGGGCCTGCAGTGACTTCAAGACCATGACCTTTGAAGGAACGCTTTCTGGTATGTTTATCATACCAGGCCTTTTGCTCTTTTTAAGCATCTTTTAGGTTTTTTTAGCAAGGGCTAAAGAGTTTTGGAGTATGTTTTGTATGTTGTTTACAAAGTCCAGAATGTTAGTTCCTGGAGAAGGCATAAACCCCTCCCATTGCTGCCTTACCAACTATAATGGCCCCTTAACCTCGTAGCCATACAAAAGTTCAAATGTTGAAAACCCCAAACTGGGATGTGGTACAGCCCTGTAGGCAAAGAGCAACTGCTGCAACACTAGGTTCCAGTCACTGGAGTGTTTATTTACGAATTTACGTATCATGGCCCCCAAAGTTTTACTAAATTCCTTTACCAGGCCATTTGTTTGATGGTGGTAAGGGGTGGCAACCAAGTGGTTCACCCCAAAGATTTTTTATGGTCCCTGCCAGGAAATTAGTTCCCAAATCCGCAAGGATATCAGAGGGCCAATCTACCCTGGCAAAAATGTCTGTTAATGCCTGGCACACACTTTTAGCCCTGGTGTTGCTTAGTGCTACTGCTTCCGGCCATCGGGTGGTAAAACTCATAAAAGTCAGTATGTACTGCTTTCCTCTGGATGTCTTTTTTGGGAAAAAGAAAATGAGGACTTGAGGCACCTTAGAGACTAACAAATTTATTTGAGCATAAGCTTTAGT